TTGATTCGAGGGTTTTTCTCCTGGGTCTAAATTGGGTTTGATTCCTGGACTCAGCATCACATGTCAGTAGAGTTTGTTAGGTCTCTCCCTTGATCCAAGGGTTTTTCTCCTGGGTCTAAATTGGGTTTGATTCCTGGACTCAGCATCACATGTCAGTAGAGTTTGTTAGGTCTCTCCATTGATTCGAGGGTTTTTCTCCTGGGTCTAAATTGGGTTTGATTCCTGGACTCAGCATCACATGTCAGTAGAGTTTGTCAGGTCTCTCCCTTGATTCGAGGGTTTTTCTCCATCCCCAAGTTACCTATCTTTTTTCCACCTCCGCAAGAAGAAGCAAGCTAAAAATTCCAATTCAATCTTAGCTAGCCCTGACTTAGATCAGTCCAGAGGTTGTTTAAGAGCTCGATCTGTGAGTTAGCTGTGCCCTGAGTCAGATCAGAACAGATCCTCGGGTTGTTTCGGGGTTCAATGTCCGAGTTATTCATGCCCTGACTTAGGTCAGCCCAAAGGTTCATTCAGGGAGTGATAAATAGGAGCCATGGAGATATTTAGAACCAATTGCAAGTGGAGTATCAAACTCTACTAACCTCAACTGGAAGGAGCGCATAGGCTGCTCCTTTCACGATATCCGAGCAGTGAGCCACAGTATAAACAGGAGCGAGAGCAAAGAACGTCTTGATACTTTTAGCAAGCGTTTGATTGGACGAGAAACCAGTGAAACCAATAAGTGTACCCTGAGAATGTCCGACGTAGAAAACCTGTTTCTGACCGGTTATCTTGAGCACGTGATCTATCATCGCGGGAAGATCCATTTCTGCCATATCTTGCCATCTAACACGAAAAAAGGGGGAAATTGTTTGAAGGGAACTTTATTTAGCAATAGACCTAATATTCAGGCCACGTATCATTATCTTCAGTATCATTTCTTTGTTTAACGGTTGCGCATGAGAAGATGCATGAATATAGAAACAATTCAGACAAAAAATATTATTCTCTGGGGAATGACACGTGGTCTGAAACGGATAAACGAATTAGGACAATTTTTCTTATATTTTCATCTAGGTAATTTCTGTTTCACCATGGTTTTAAAGTAGTTGGTGCCGGGTTGTGACACATTCACTCTATCTACTACACCCTTCTCTACCAGCTATATCACAACCAGCGTCGCAATAGTCCCCTTCACAGTTCCCTGCGCCATCTTGAAAGGCAGACGTGCCTTTGCATAGAAGCGAGTTGGACGGTAAGCTTGCAATGATAGAGAAATGTGAATAATTGTCCAAGGTTTTAAAAAGGGTCTCTATCATTGCAAGCTCACCGTTCGTCTCGCTTCGATACAAAGGCACGTCTACCTTACGAGATGGTGCAGGGAACTGTGAAGGGGACTATTGGTTGGAAAGCAACGACTGCAACAACAGCAGACGCAGAAGCAGAAGCAGAAGCAACAACAGCAGTATAAGCAAAAGCAACAACAACGACATCGCCACAACAACAGCAAAAACAACAACAACAATAGTCTCCCTCGTATCCGTTTTTAGTGTCGGTCGTCACGCAACGCTCCCTCTCCACAAAGCCGTTTGTGGGGAGGGAGCGTTGCGTTACGACCGACACTAAAAACGGATGCGAGGGAGACTACAACAACAACCGAAGCAGAATATTTTTCGTTTTGAAACTGTCGTACTCACGAAAAATCCCAAAAGTTTGGATGATTTTTATCCATTGCCTTGTGCCTCTGGGAGTAGTCGTTACCCCTGATGTTGCCCAACCAGACATCGAATCCCTCGTCTGCTAGAATATAACCAAGACTGTCATTGGCTGAATTAAGTATCCAGTTCGTGCTGTCCATAAGAAGTCCGTGTTGCAAGAAGGCAACAGGTTTGGATCCTGCTAATGTATTTCTTTGAACGCTTCTTCCATGTGGGATTCTATGGAGAGTCAAGATGTAGCCGTCTTTGGTTGTGACGTAATGTTCTTCGACAGGATATCCACGGTCTTGGATCAGTTGCCTCTAAAGACGAATTGAGCAACAAAGACAGTATAGATATTTCAGAGGGTGCAATGAACCTCAGCTACGTAGATGCAGTTCGAACTGAATTCAATATGGATACGACTCAAACAAAGAGTCTTATTCTTAACAGAAATCGAATAACATGTGAGTTTGAAATGGGAAAACATTACGCCCAGGGCAAAGAGGTCTTTTGTTCAACTATAAGCCACTTTGGCGTAATGTTTTTCCCATTTCAGACCTCTTGTCATTCCCTAGAGAAGAAGATTCTTCGTTTGAGCTGTATCCATATTAATGTGTCTTCTCATGTGCAACCGTTAAACAAAGAAATAATATTAGATACTCTAGGGAATGACAGGCTGTCTGAAACGGGACAACAGTGAATTAGGTCTATTTATCAATCTATTCAATGATATTCTTACTGCGTTTCGGTCGATATCTGGATGACGTGCTGCGACCCTGTTGTCTTGCTTCAGGAAAGGCAGGCCAAGGACAAGATGAGATGTAACGGAGAAGATCACCAAAACAAGTACAGCACGACCCATACTGAGATCAGGAGGAAGTAACTATACGATGACTAGAGATCTCTCCTGTGAATCAAGGTGCAATAGGCCCTTTTCGAGTTGCAAAATTACCGCTGTGTTTCTTGATTACAGACTCATTTGCTCAGGCTAAGCCTCGAATCAGTGTCTAATTACTCGCAAATACCAACGGTAAAGTAAAGAATGCACAAGTTCAACAATACGAACACTTTGAAACTTGACGGACCCTGACTGGAAAACGTGATTATTCTTCACAAAGTCAAAGTCGAGAAACACAGCGGTAATTTGGAACTCGAAAAGGGTCTATTAATATCCCATTGGCAAAATTCTTGGGTTGCAACTACATGACTCAAAATCCCTTGAGATGTAAATAAAGATGAAACAGCCGCCATGTTGGTCGATCTAGCAAGAGAAGCTAATAGGGAATGCTTTGTTATCGTAAACCAACATGGCGGCTATGACGTAACATGCATCTGAAGAATAGTGTGAAAAACATCAGTAGCATATGGAGGTCAAAATTTCTAAAATTGTTGGATGGTTTAAATTTCAAAAACATTGCAAAAATGTTCGTTTGCGCGTTTTCGACCCCTCTGGCCCTTATAACATTAATATTCTATACACCCCCCCCCCCCCCCCCCTTCCTCCCCACGGACCCGTTCCCGCCCCCTCCGGTATAGAAAACATTAGTGACGTCAAAATCTTAATAAATTTAAGTCACTATACTGTCCATGGATTTTGCTCAATGCGACAAAGAAGATTATAAGATCGAATTAGTATTAAAACTTTTTTTCTAAAAGCTTGTAAATATTTGTGTAGAAAAGTGCTGTGATAATGAGAAATAACAGATTTATCAAGTATGATTTTGGCTAATATTTTACCAGTGCATTGCGTAACTAGCAAACATTAAATAACGGGATACTTATAACAATTGCTGGTTTTATTTGCTTAATGTTTTGGCTGCATGCTAATCATAAAGACTGTCACATATTTAAGTAGGATGGTTCCATCTTAATTTCGAAAGGTTTCACAAAAATCTACCTCCGCTTGGGTTATCATTCTTCCCGGGTCATTCTTTTAAATACATGACGCAGCTATATCAACAATAACATAGTTGAAACAACATAATAATGCTGAATAGATTTGTAGGCTGTAGTACGTTCCTTTTACGCAATATCGTTATACAAAGTCACAACTCGAAAAATGCATCTATTATTTCAATCCTGCAGTAGAGTAAAACAAATTTTCCTAACACTAGATATTCATTAGGTCAGCCCTCCATCTTTCATCACGAAAATATTTTGTACCTCTCTCTTACCAGCTAGACTCACACCGCACGGAATTAGTCACAGTAGTTGATTTGTATTTCCTTATATATGAAGTGCTTCGCTTTTTTGTTGACTTTTGAAAAGCAGTCGGGTTTGATACGTACCTTCAACTTCGTCTGCTTTACTTTGCCCTCGTATCCTAACTGTAGAGTCTGTAGCCGTGGATTGTCTTGTGACCTTGAGCCGGCGTAAGTAAAACCGGTTTTGCAGTGATGGGTCGGTACATGTATGTTGAAATAACGATCAGGTATCGGAAATGTTAAGTTCATGAAGCAACTTCCTTGGTCTCATGTAGGGTGATGACAAGCCTTGCATGTAACGCTAGGAGGTCATTTGGATGATACTCTAGACTGTCCCCATGCGCTCCACCCAAGATCTCTGTTCAAACCATTTTTAAATCTGACCTTGACAGCTCCACAGGTATCCCACGAAGGAGAAAAAAAGCCAATAATAACATTTCATAATGACATCATACGCACGTGAGAAGAAAAAAGGAAGGAAGGAAGAAAGAAAAGCAGACAGACAGACAGACAGACA